TTCCACTTAAGTCTTGGCTCATTTAAATGAATCCTCCTACAAATGATTACTGCCGAAGCAAGCGATGCTCCAAAGAAATATTATGTCATCTTTTACGACCATGCTGAATGTGGACGAAGATCACGTTTACTGAGATATCATAAGGCACACAAGAAAAGCCTGCTGCAGTAGTCCCGCGAAGAAGGATCAGAACATGGGAAATTTATCCTAGCCCTTCTTGTAGCTTTTGAGTGTAAGGTGAGGTAAAACTCTGTAAACGTTTAGGAGTACTGCCATTTTTTACCTTTTGTTCCAAGAAAATTGTTCCGCGTCGACAGATAGGACTAAAGGGATTTGAAAATCTCGTGTCATATTGCTCACGTCGCTATGATCTACTTTTGAAAACTTCGACTTCCCCACACATATTTTAAAAAATACTTAGAATCGCTACCATTCTTTGGTTAATCACGGAATAAAATCGCACATCACCGAGAGCCTGTAAAACTAATCATGGGAATCAGCTTCAGTCCAATAAATACCCCTGTGGGGAAGGTGGGCCAAAATCACTTGATTTAATAGGTCTTAATGTTACAAATGCCAATAGATCCCTTTTATTGTTTCTCCTGAAAAAGTCGAGTTCCTGAGGCACCATAATTCAGTGCTTTTTATATGTATATCTACGTCTTTTTACAACTCAACTCTTTAGTGCGAAATAATCCTTGTTTGTATTTTTGCAACACTGGTAAAGCAAATGTGATTAAAACTTTAGTCTGACTGAACCATACATGCTAGTCTGTGAAGAAAAAATGTGTGTAGACTGGTGGGTCTGATTCTCCGCTGGTCAACAGGTAGACATCAGTAGCAGTAGTGAAAACCTTAGAGACATGTTTAGTTGTTAGACTACGATTCAAGAAATGATAGGATCTTGGTCGGTCGTTACAGTGCTGATGAACACAAAATATTTAAGTGAAACGAAAAGTTGAAGTGTTCGCCATAGCGTCCTTTGAAGTTTATAGATCTCATGCAGCCCGACACCCTCCTGCAACATGTGGAACTTATCTAGTCAAGACCCACAGAAAAACGTTTACGTAATTTGATCGCGAAAATCAGGCATGGTGGTGAAAGCCCTCAATACGTCTACATTTACTCATTAAAATCGTTACTAACTTGCGACTTCACAAAATTTCTGACCATATACGCTAACTTTTTGATAAGTTGTGTGTCAAGCCACCAAGGAGTATTGCGCTACCACTTCACTTGGTGGTGAATAGTTTTGACAAGAATGTCTTTCGGAGGTAGACAACTAGACCTACAAAATGTCCTTTCATTTTGAGCTAAAACTACATCAGTGCTTCGTACAAAGTGAAAACTCACCAAGTCGAAATCTTTCCTAAAAAACAACCAACCGCAGGGTATGCCAAATATGTGTTAATATACCACTGAAGAAGTATCGATGATAGTTACGAAAATCTTCGAGTTTCGCAGATTCCCATTCTACGTGATCGGTCCAGGCGGAAACGAAATTTTATTACAGTTTTGAAAAATGTTGACAGGGTCGCCCACAGCGCGGATAGATTTCAGTGGTCAAAGGCTAGATGACAGTCAACGTTAAACCACATTTACCAAGACTATTTGTGATGAACTGTTCATAAAATAATTACAAATTACATTAACAATAGCAACAGATACAGCATAATTTGCTGCCAAATAATCCACTAGGTAATTAACTCGGATATACTTTCCTGCCTATCCTAACTAATCCAAACAAACAAATCGGGAATACCAAAAGTTTCAAACATGTTACATATATGGATTGTTACACAAGTCACTAGAGTACAGCCGAGAGCTCCAGTTACAACATTTCCCATTCTTAGGTTCCTAATAACAAAACGTCCTTGAAAATACACTTCTAACTCATTTAAATTCGTTATTCGCACTTCTATTTATTCAAACCCGTTCTAGGAGGAGAATGAACAAATTTGAGATAAACTCCTTGCTTTTGTGGGCCCATGTATCAGCTAGGGCGTAAATTTCACAATTGCTTTGCGGCCTAGATGTCAAACTCAGCCATGTGTGCAGAAGCAAGACATTAAGCCACTAATTAGCGAACAGGCGACAATTCCTGCCAACTGATTTGAATAATCCAACAAAATCAGTTAGCTGTAAATATGTTCGTGGGGATAACTGATCATCTGTAAGTTCAGTTTATGCGGGAATATCAAATTTCCCCGGTTTCTTTAGATACTTCTACCGTTTCTTCTCAATAAACGAAGCGATAATTTTATTTAAGCGCGCATCAACAGTTTATATTGAGACACGCGCTTGATGACTTTTTAATGATCATTCGCCAATAAGCAAAAACACAGCCGCAACTAGTAGTGAATATACGCACCTGTGCAGGACAAACACAAATGTAAGCTAACGATGCAAAAATGGACCGTGAAAGAGTTTGCTGTGAAAAAACATTGGCATGATTAGCCATTTACCCTTACGGTGCTTACTGGCTTTAATGATCTGCCTCGCACAGCTTAATTATAACCGCGGATGAAGCTATTTTTGCTAGACATACCTTAAGACCTACCGGGATATAACTTGGGTTGCGGGACAGTATCACGAATCAGTGAATGACATTCTTCAGGGATCATTTCCATAGAACAGCTTAAGAGTTGCGTTCTTTATCCTAAGAGTCACATTTGAATTATTGTTACTCCTATCGATAAATACACTCATTTGCAAGTCAGTTTGGTTTTCACGAGTGACTCAAATGTATCTCACGTTTATGATATTTTTAAATAAATGTGCTGCGAAAAGGCCGCCACAGTTGGCACGATATTCGGTCTGTCGCTGTGTATTTTCGGTTGTTTTTATCAAAATCAGTCCAATTCGTGTTCAAGTAGAACATAGGACTGACGGAACCTCGGGGAGTACGCCTACGTACGCCTAACGATCTCCAAGATGAGCAATGAGCTCTCGAAGAGTAGTAAGTAGTTTACTTGTTACCTATGATTTTTCCCGTTACAGACGAGATATAGATTTTAATGATCCTACTACTCTTTTGGTGGTGCTGTGTCTTTACTTACGGTATGCTCTGTCTTGTTTAATCCCCAGTGAAATCATTCGAAATGCAAGGTTCGTCGTTGGTTTTGTCTGTATCTGGAGCAGAAAACGAAGTACGACTCAGCTTCGAACAAATTTGGACGTTGTCATAGTAGCTGAAGGAGGACCATGTGTCTACGTCGCTATTTCAGGGCAACTCCAAAAATGTGAAGCTGTTTTCCCGATCCGATACACCAGTGTTTGAATCGATGTTTGACAAGAGGGCTCCACAAAAAACTATTATAGCCCCCACGAGACGTGCTAGATGCGATTGTATTCGATTGATTGATAAATCTTGTTTTGGTTTCAAAAATCCTACCTGTGAAAAGACTTTTTCTGTGGTACTTTAATTGTAGCGCTTAGCCAGGAAAAACGGAACAAAGTTTAGGAAATCCTAGCGACACTTAAAAAACTACAAATCATTTTCTTTTGCCCGCACTCTACTACCTTATCAGCTTTGAACCCACAAATATCAAGGATGCAGTGAAAAACCGTTTGAAGAGGAGAGTGAACATAATTTTGCGGTTAGGGTAACCTCAGGTGAGTGTGAAAAATATCCTCCATCTTGAATCGTTGAAAGACCAGGTACGCAATTCAGCCGCCGGAAGAACGGGATGGGAAGTTGTGATAAGCGAGGTGTGCAAATGCTGTAAAACAAGCTAGCTGTTCCGAAGCGGCTCACGGTTACCAGTGGGTCCCCGACAGCACGGGATTTTCAGACGTGCTTGCGCACATACCTTGGTAGGGTCCGTCTTGCGGATCACCAACGTTCTCAATCACACGTTGAATGTAAACAAGGGGTTCCTCTGTGCATGTGTTCCACTTTTCAACCAACACCCTTCCGATTTTTTCACCTGAAGGATGAGAGCACGACTAATTGAACGCCCTCAGGAAATGCATGGCTACCTTAAAGGTGCGTCAGTAGGCAGCTTTCTGAGACATTTACTTAGCGCCGTACTGAAAAACGTGTGGTAGCACACTTAATCCCGAAGAGACTGAAGGATCTCTTGTACCTCGATCACAAAGAAGTCGCTGGTGCTGGTGTGCATTGTCACACTACTATGCCTAAGCTGGCATCGGCTGGCAATAAATCTCTGTTCAACGATAGTACCCCTCGGGGCATATAGCGGTGCCATACAGTACCGTATCCGGCCAAAGTCAAAAAGGTTTACGGTTATTCTACTATGCACGGGCTTTCAGTAGTCTGACCACTGAATATATATGTATATATATGAAGTTTGCGAGTTGCGAAACTGCAGGGAAAAAACTGGAAACAACGTGCTCAAGTCCAAAATGACTTTGATCAGAACTGTGGCACTGCCGGAATCCAATGAGTCCTCCAAAGGAAAAAACAAATATTGAACTGTCGGAGAGTTGTCAATAACTTTTTAAGTAGTACCTCACAATAAAGAGTTTGTCCGTCGTTTGACAGTTTTTTCACCTTCTAAAGGATTAGCATACAATCAGTCAAACTTTGGATCTAATAAAATGTATGCACTCATCTTTAATTCGCAGAAATAGAGCAAGCAGTGTTTTACCACTTACCGTCCAAGAATTTTTGCAAAGATGAATATCCCTTGACCATCAGATATGTCGTCCACGTAGGTGATTGACATGATGGTTGCTTACTGGCCTCACCAATTGTTCAGACTAATCAATACTACGTGTGTATGGACCTTCACAATATCAAATGTGTTTCGAATGCAATAAATCCGAATAATGTGATCCGATCGCATCTACGAACTAGACGACAAAACCTATCCTTCCCCGTTACAGGTACACAATACGTTTTCTTTTGACACTAGAATGCTATTCACATGTGCTACTCATTCGATCAGACCTGGATTGATGATTGGTTCATCTTAGACTGTCCAACTACCTAGATGCAAGGAAGGTCCAATTGGCGTAACCACCGCACCTGAAAATTACAGCACCAGTGTTTGTGTTGTACAGGCCGGAGTGACACAAGGATCACGGTTGCTTATGCCATCCCTGTAACCAAAAAGTAGAAATGACTTTTTTCCGATATACACAGAAAAGCTTCTACAACACAGTCACTCTTAATCGCAAGACAAATATTGAATTGAACACATCTGATCGATTTTGTTTTGTTTGTAGATGTCCAACTTGTGCATTCATACATCTTCATTTTAACCCAGCCTATGGAATGGAATCTATAACTGCGTAAAAGCACACACATTCGTTGGAAATTCTACCGGCTGAAAGAGCTGTGTCGCGGAATTAAATGCGAAGTTAATGTGTGTTGGAATGAGTCCCAAGCAGTACTGCACTCGTCTTTCTCTTTAAATTCAATGTGTAGCACCTGAGGTTGACAAGCCAAAATCACTTAAAACCTCATGACGAAAGAAGAAACACTGAGCTTTTAAATTAATTTATGGTGGTATCTTGTGGTATCTACGTAATTTTTAATATACGTCATAGGAGCACAATTGGTAGTTTCTAAATATAGGTTCATAGGTTCATATTCAAGCCAAAGCATTCCATCGTCACCAAATGCTGAAAACAATTTAGTACCACGTAACGAATATTTCACATAACTAACTGATAGCAGTCACGAAGAAAATATCTGCAAAAGTCCCATGCACATAACCAAGTACCTAATATACAGTTATGCTCATGAAGGGAAGAATTTAGCGATCGTATGCATCCCTACCGTAACCTAAATACTTTGGGCAAGGTCCTCTCAGGACAAGAGGCGTTTTTCCTCAGCGAGAAATGCCCTGGTGTTTTAACTGAGAATATGTGGGAAATTTCTATGTCCCTCAGGCTAATATAAAAAATATGGAATGTTACATTCATCTTCCGTTATGGCTGAGTTTGACACTGGGAGGAGCACTAGCGTTTGACCCATAGAACTATTAGAACCTGAGCAGTGTTATTCTTAACTGTTTAGACCACCTCCCCTCGTAATTTCCACGTGTTATTGGCCTTAAAGTACTATTTTTATACTCAAATAAATTTGGTTTGATGAGGCGATCTTCGGACAGGCCAACATTTAAGGTATATTTATTCTAGTGTGGTTAAGAAATTGCTCAGTCGAATAAACGTGGGATACATGACTGAACGCTTCCTGTGAGGACGTCATTCATCGCAAAGTACTAGCAAAAAAGCTGCAGCACACATCAAGGAAAAAATCCAGAGCGTCTGATAATTATCACTTTGAAGCCAACAAAGACAAATGAAACACGGTCTAATGGAGTTACTTACCTCCACTCCTTGAAGGATTTCAAGTCTCAAGGTCAAGGTCTCAAGGTCGTTTGTTTTTTCTTCTACATCATGCATTTTATGCTTGTGAATTCAGGCAGCTGATGGATTGTACAGTATCATGGATTACTAAGTAGGCACTACTGAAACTCTGTAGTAAAAAACATTTTTGTATCAGGATGTAACGGCATTTTCTGCCGTCAGTTAAACTTAAGTGTGATCCGGATATTTCTATAATGATGTTAATTAGTGGTCCAACCAATTCCAATCCTAATACCAAGTACCAGCTGTGTAATGTGTAATATATGTGTATAATCCTAAGGTATGTATTCTTCAACTATGATTTTCTATTCGGCTCTGCTTGTGCAGGAACATAAGGAGGTGCATACCGTGAGTGTCTGGTATAAGATAAATGGAAATCTAATTGTTGTCTCGAAATCAGGCAACACGGCATACTGGGAAGACCAGCGTAATTGTACAGTCCTTTATGAACTTGACTTCCAGGGATGAAAAAATTCGCAATCCGATATTACGCTTAAAGTAAATAGGACATTTTCCCTGCAGAACACATCTCAAAGGGTGGTGAAATCTGTTGGACAGCCCACAATCGATTTCACAATTCTTGGGGAACATTCTCAGTTTCCTATCAGACTTGAACCCCGAAGTGTGTACATTTGAAAAAATACACTCATGCATATCAAGCTGATGTCATCTCGACTATCGTATGAAATGAAACACGAGTTGGCCTTTGTGTAGCACTGTCGGATGAATACCACAATCCAAAGATTCGTTTGGTGCCATGGTGAATCACCGTCTGACACAGATGTCATTTGCAAATGAGTGTACTTTGATAAATGAATGGATTTTTAGTCGATGAAACAATCTCAAACACAAAAGGTTTGGTGAAATATAGGAAAATCCCTCGCCTGACGGAATTCAGTCCGCCTTGAAACTTGGCTCGACATAAAGCTTGTGTATCGCCCAGCAATAAATTTACCCATCGATTATGAAACCTCTGTTAAACGATAAAAGATCATGATGCACTTAATCTAGAGCAAACGGAGAACAAAAAACCACTTGAGATGCTTAACAATTAACTAGTCTTGCGTGCTATTAGGTGCGGGAATCGCTAGAAGTACTTAGTTGCAAGATTATCGGTGACCTTTTGATCGAACGAGGTGTAGAACTCTCATTATAATAGACAAAATGTATGTGAGATTCGAAATTGTTTAAAAGGGGCCTCCTTTTCTCGGTATTGTATGAAATCTTAGGAGAAGCCAATGGGACTCTTTTCTCCACACCTTGACTACAAGTTCCAGACACCTGTGGGCAAATCTGCAGTCTTGTGACCTGAGCGCCGAAATTCCGCGAAATGCGCGACTGGTGCTGTGTAATTGTCTTTGAGTTGCCTGATGCACTTTACTGGAGCTATGATCTGCATTGTATAGTGAATGGTTCACTATGGAAGATAGAAATGACTTCAAGTAATCCTATGTAATAACGGTATTTTCTCAGCTAGTCCTTCAAATCGGCGTTCCATTCGAAACATCCACAAAAACGTTGCACAACTTGTAATAACACCCAAATCCAGGCCGAAAACTTATGTACAACGCACCGTATGTGGTGGCAACAACCTGGAAGTTGGACGCATTCTGAATGCATTAGGGGCAACTTACATTCGGCGGATACTCGATCATAATTAATTGTTCTTTCCGGACTCGCTAATCACATGCGTGATAGGTTTCTTGGGCGTACCAAGCCTGACTGTGAGCGGGAAAATGTCCAACGTCTTATTCGTAATGGGTGCTCACGCTAGGCTTCCGACAGACCAGCCCATAGAATTTCTGCAGTGGTGCCCAGAAGCATCTCTAGGCTAGACTCACTTGGTCCAGTGGACGAAATCCTCGCATTTGCCGGCCGGATTTGGTTTATATGCCGTCTTAGCCTGGCAGCTCCAACTTGAATCTCGAAGAGTATTCACCACGCCAGCGAAGGATGTGTCCTGAAATCCACGTAGGGTGTTTGCCGCTGTGGTCCCAAGCCAACACTCTCTAGCCCCTCACAGAAAGAGCGCGCGGTGGTGCCATGATGTCAGTTGTGCTTGAACTTAGTTCTCTTGTTATGGTGACTCAAATACGTTTTCTGCAGCCGGACCGAGTTATGCGGTGTTCAAAGCTTCCTTCGGAACAGGGCATCTCCTGGTGAACTATATCAGATGAGTTGGTGCTTGGTGTCCTTCCATCTGCTAGCAGGGACGTTTGCAAAATTTATTCCGTTGACCTCTTCCCTGTGGACCTCCAGAGTTCACGCTTCACAGTTTCAACGGAGCGTTGCGCTTGACTGTTTGTCTGTGGATGAAGCGGTGGCAAGCGGACATGAGTTATGCCACGCCGACGATGTGTACTAAATGCTGTTGCCCAATACAATAGTCTCTGGAGCTCCAGAGCAACCGAACAATCGCCGTAGTCCCAGAACCTTAGTAGCAGTTATGTGGCTATTCACCGGTGGAATGTCTGGTCGCCTGCTGTAAACGTCGACCGCGACTAAATGAACCTACGTAGTCGATTTGAAGAAGGGGGCTATTTTCGGTCGGCTGCGGCCGCGACCGTAGATAGGTTTTCACCGGCGACTTGGATGCTCCGCCACATCGCAGCCAAGACTTGGAGATTTGTTCATCTAAGAGCCCATTGAAAGCCAGTAGACGTAACTCCGAGCAAGGGTCTTCATCTTGTTTGTTTCCATGGTGAACCTAATGCAACTGATTCAGTACGAGTGATTATAACTTCTCTTGAATGACGATGCATTCTAAAAATAAAAAGGCACCCAACACCTAATAATACTGCTTCACGCCGGTTGAAGTAAGGTCCCAGCTCATCTTTTCGGCTGGTAGGTCACCATAAGTGCTCGCATGATTAGTCTGGTTGTTGCCCGCAACCTCTATCATCCCATTAACTAGAATGATCATAGTGTGTCGATCCCGAAAATCTCATCAATACCTATTGTGAAAAAGCCAACCCACAACTCAATTAGCGAACCTTGAAAATATGGTGTGTTTGGCCCCATTGTCAAGAAGCGTGACAATATTCACCAACGGAGAATAAATTCAGTTTAATTGGAGAAAGCCGGAAGGTTCATATAGCATGTTTCCCAACGATGGTCATCCTCAGTGCTCCTTCATGATACTGTACATCACCACCTTGGGCTTTTATAAAAATGGGTGGTCTGCTGGCTACTTTATAGTATAGTAAGCCATCAGAAGTAGCGTGGAGTTTGGGCTTGACGAAGTTTAGTCTAGTTTTTCTTGTTAGCTCTATAAAACTTTCTAAGTCTTTTGAGCTCAACGGCAAGGTGAACACCCAGTTTTGTGGTTGCTAACCCAGCTGAGGAACTCAGGTCCCTGGATGGTCACGTCATGAAGTGGAATAATTATCGTTTAGGATATCCGCGCAGCAATCAGTTCGAACGTAATCAAGTGGACTGTACAATTTATGTGACATCTTTGGTCAACTCAACACTTGTTTCTTTTGTCCTTTGTGATTCTGGTTACTTCGCTCATGACAAACGGCACCCACCATAATCACTGTTTTTTCACCACCAATCAATCTCGAGACTGTTCAGCTCAATCAGAAAGCCATCACGGGATAAATCTCAGCTTACGTAGGCAATAATCAGGGGAAAATCTACGGTTTTATCAAGATAAACGAGTCCAAGGGACTTTGCTCGTGTCACCTTTTGATCGTGCTTTCGTAAACTAGGTGCGCCTCATT